AGACATTTATAAACTATTTTTTTTTATATATATATATATATATAAATTTATTTTATTTGAAAGTTTAACCGTTAAAGATGTATTTTTTTTTAATTTAGGTCCTCAATAATTCCTAATCCTAATTTGTGTTAAGAGACGGATTCATGATTTTAAATTGATGGGTTTCAAATTTTAGGACATACATGACTACTTACTCCGTTCATAATAGATTATTTGTACCTATTAAATGAACTTTTAAAAAACAATTACATATTTTGAACAAAAGTTATTAAATTATATTGAATTAGTAAGATATGACGTAAATCCACCTCTTTTTTGTGTTTGGGTGCATCAAAAGGGCGCAAAGGACAGATTTACTTTAAAGTTACCAGGTGTAATTGAACTCAGTATTTTTTATACGATCAATCCATAGAAGGTTAAATCCGTTTGAGTTTTAATCCTAGATCCGCAACGAATGTTATAAAAATCTCAATTTCCATTTTTTTAGCTATTTTAATTGGTGATTTTAGTTTCAGATTCAATGAATTTACTTTTTTAGGGCCATAATTTTGCATGATATAAATAAGAATAGAATCTATCATTTTCTTGTATGCAATGCTATCCAGCTTTTCCCTTAATTAAAATTGAAGCTTTATGCTATTTTTCATCCTGTAATCATATTCCTATTTTCAAAATAATATGAACCAATACTTTAGAGAACATTGTTTCTATCACCATTAATAATATTCTAAAATAATACTACAATTGTTAATAGATATAATGTTCTTTTTCAAGTATTGGTTCCTATTATTTTCAGATATAAAATTACTAGATGAAGAATATAACTAATAAAGTAGCTGTATGTACTAATAAACAACTTTTTCCCAGGTTGACATTATGGTAAAAAGTAAAAACTTACATGTTCACCCAAAGTCAATACATGCATGTCATGTCATGTGCTTGAATTACAGTATGCAGCGATGATTTTTATCAAGGAAACAAGATTCAAAATATGAAAAAGTAAACATACGAAAAAGTTGAACAGGATAACATCTACTATGTCTACATAAAAGATAATTGTAACTATGTATCAACAATATTTTCTACGAAATAGGGTTCAGATAAACCCCTTAAGCCCTTACTAGCTTCGCCCCTGCTTGAATAATATACTCCCTCCGTTTCAAAAAGATTGATTTGGTTTGACTTGGCACAAAGTTTAAGAAATTAAAGAAGACTTTTAAATCTTGTGGTCCTAAATTAAAGTTATGTCAAATGTACAAAATTGCCCTTAATCTTGTGGTCTTAAACATGTCACGTGAAAAGCAAAAAGTAAAATGTTACCAAAAAAGGAAAGAGGTCATTTTTTTGAAACTGACTAAAAAGGAAAGGAGATCATTCTTTGTGAAACGGAGGGAGTACTATTTTTACTTTATCAATGATTAATTAAATCATTTAATCATAGTAAGTTATACTCCTATTTTAATTTGTTTGTCTTATTTTTCTTTTTAGTCTATTAATTGATAAAGAATGTTTCTTTTTCTTTTTGACAATTCTTTAACTTCAACTTTCCATATGACATGTTCAAAACCACAATATCAAAGAACATTTTGTCACACCCCAAAACCGGATGTGATGGCACGTGCCCAAACCCCACCGGACACGTCAGCCTAACACCCAAAACCCCGACGATACGAAATTAATAAAACAAGAATAAGATAGAAAGATAAGCGGAAGTCTTTAAATAAACTCAACATAACCCCAGAATTGGTTGTCACATGTACAAACCTCTAATACAGAATCTGAATAAAATATACAAGTCTCATAGTAAAGTTCTAGAATAGAACAGAACAGTAAATATAGATAACTTGAGGGCACGTCTGGAATGAACCGCTACCTCTCAAGTAAGTCTGGAAGCTCTAATCTGAAGATGAGTAATAAGCCGGATCTGATAGAGCTGTCAACCTACACAACTGTGTAGAAGCAAGGGTGAGTACCAAAAGCAACAGGTACTCGCAAGTAACACTAAACTAAGCTAAACTAGCAGCTACAAACAACTCCTTTCAATCCCAACCGAACCACCGAAACTTCATTCTAACAGCGAACCAACAACCTATACTACACAATTCATAATCAACAGATATATCCAACAGTATCTCAACATCAACCTCATATCCTCATATAAGAGCAAATAGATCATATATCACATGAAGAGGAGCAAGTAGGTAAAATCCACACACCACAGACAAAGATGAAGTCAAATGCGATGCAAATGCAATAATGATGTCATGTAGTCGTGATGCATGTCTGTCCTAAGATACACATCTGTTGACGTAATTCAGACCGCGCTGAATACTCAAATCAGAACCCATGGGGGCCACACATGGACCATGTATCACCGCCGGAACCAGATCCCATCGGCATCCAAATCGCTAGCCGGAGCTAGTCCATCTCATATATCTCTAGCCGGAGCTAGTCTCAACTGTGTCTCATATCCATCCATCCTCATATCAGTGTCTCAGAACTCATGCAACAGATAGTTCACACATGGGATGAATAATGAATATGCACATGTCATCAATCACAATCATATCACGATCACATCATAATATTACACATCATCTGTCTCAATCACAACCATATCACGACCACATCATAGTATTACACATCACCTGTCTCAATCACAACCATATCACGACCACATCATAGTATTACACATCACCTGTCTCAATCACAACCATATCACGACCACATCATAGTATTACACATCACCTGTCTCAATCACAACCATATCACGACCACATCATAGTATTACACATCACCTGTCTCAATCACAACCATATCACGACCACATCATAGTATTACACATCACCTGTCTCAATCACAACCATATCACGACCACATCATAGTATTACACATCATCTGTCTCAACATCAATGTCTGTATCAATCATAACCTACTCATGCTCTTCTATCCCCTCAATATCGGTTATCATATGACTTATTCAACAAATTCAAGTCACATATAACACATTTAGCTCGTTTTATTCCCCATCTTTCATTTACAACAATTTCAATCAACAAATAAAACCCATCCTCAATCCCCATTACTCCCCAACACAATTAGGAAAGTAGTCATGCGTAGTCTAAGAGTTTTACAAAGTTTGGAAGCCACTTGCCTTAAAACGAACTCCAAAAGTTACTTGACTTGAGCCCTTTCCTTTCCGAGTATAATCCGGATCACGATAATCTATTCAAACAATTATTCACAATCACAATTCGAGTCCAATGACACCAAAATCAAGAAATTTAGGGAAAAAGGGCAAAACGGTCCAAAAGTCTCATACCGGAAAACGATACCCAAATCTGGAAATTTTTGATGTAAAATGATCCTTAAAGTATTTGGAAGCTAATGGTGAAAACCAATTGACCCTCGGGATTCGTTCGGAATCTCGTGCACACAAACTAAATATGTACCCCCACTAAATTCGACGTTCCGGACTCAATGGAACTGTCGGAATTTGAATTCGAGGACTCCTTGACCCGAAATTCAATAAGATGCCAAGAAACTAGTTTAACGCCAAAAAAATTCGAAACTCAAACGGAGCGTCTAAAAATTCAACCAAGACTCATTCTAGACTTAGAATCGCCTCCCGAAACCAACGGTACTCTCGGAATTTCAATCTGAGCCTCGGAACCTCATATGTTGACCAAAGTCAACTCTTTATCGAAATTTCACAACTTTAGCAACTTAGGACCTCAATTCTTCGTTTCAACTCCAAATTCAACTCCGTAACTTCACACAGACCTGTTTCGACATTCTAAAACTGCCGGAATCGACGGAAATCCGATCCGAGTCACGAAACTCCAAATGACTCGAAAAAACACTTTTTAACCAACTTTAACTCATAAAAACTTAACTTCATAAAAACTCAACTTTTTACCAACTTTTCCTCAAACCAACTTTACAACCACAAAACATGGGACTCGGGACAACTACCGAAAGGGCAAAATAGTCATTTCCACGAAAAATTACCAAAATGACCTTTCGGGTCATTACACATTTTGATACATTCTACATATCTTTAGTTTAAGACAACATATTCAAAAGTCTACTTAACTTTCTTATACTCTGTACCAAGTTAAAATCAACCAAATAAATTAAATAATTTCGACATCTTCCCGCCGTTATCTTCTTGGTGACCTCAATAGCGTAATATTATGTTATATTGTCAACGTATAAAATTTCAAAACACATTAGAATAAAGTGATAATGACACTAAATTGGAAATATTGGACCAAAGGACCTTTACCAATTAAACAAAAAAGCAATTTAGCATCAAAATCTTTAATTTTTTATATATAAAAAAAAAATGTAATGGTCGACCTAATGAACATATTCTATACTCATTTATAAGTTATTTTTACATTTAAAGAAAGAAAAATGTGTACATCAGCAACCTCTATAAATAGGGTCTTTGCAAAACTCTAAGCTCCAACATATCAAATATAAAAAATAACCTCTTAAAAACTAGAAGTTAAAAAAGAGGGAAAATCTTTTATTTTTTTTAAAAAAAACTTGAAGAAAAATGGGTGGTTACTACTACCCAACATGGCCTGAATTTAACAAGAAGCCAATCACACCACAAATCAAGGGGTCTCAAGTCATTGCTTTCCACTCTTCAACAAAATGGAAGCTCCATTTTGATTCTTTGAAAGATACAAACAAATTGGTAATGATCATTTTACACTATATATCACTCTATTGTAACATGTTGTAGAGCCCGTTTCGATTAGCTGATGGTAAATAGTTGATAAGCTTTTTAAGGGTTGAAAATCATTTGAAAGTGTTTGAAACTGATTTTATAAATAAACAATTAAGTATATATTTAGATAAAAGTGTTGAAACTAGTAACCATTTTGATTCTTTGTAAGATATAAGCAAATTCGTAATCATTTTTACACCATCACTCTATTTTAACCTATTGTAGAGCCTATTTCGATTAGCTGATGGTAAATAGCTGATAAGCTTTAAGTGCTAAAAATCATTTTAAGTGTTTGAAATTGATTTTGTAAATTAGCAATTAAGTATTTGGATAGAAGTGCTCAAACTAGTAACTGTTTTGATTATTTGAAAGATACAAACAAATAATTGGTAATCATTTTTACACTATCACTATATTTTAACCTATTGTAGGGCCTGTTTTCATTAGCTAATGGTAAATAGATGATAAGCTTAAAGTGTTGACGCTTGACAATCATTTTTAAATGTTGAAACTGATCTTATAAATAAATAGTTACGTATTTAGATAAAAGTGCAGAAATCGATAACCACTTTGGTTCTTTGAAAGATACAAACAAATTGTAAATTATTATATGGTACTAATCATTTGCCCTGTTTGATCTACTAGGTTGTTATTGACTTCACAGCTACATGGTGTGGTCCTTGCAAAAACATGGATCCAATTATCAATGACTTTGCTTCCAAATATACAGATGTTGAGTTTGTCAAGATTGATGTTGATGAATTAGTTGTACGACTTCTTGAACTTCACAATCCTTTTCTTTTTTTCGAGTTTAATTTCTATAAATTGACGTATTTACACAATCAGGTCCACTTATAAGATAATTACAAGCAAACCTCTATAATAAACGTCACAATGTTGTAAAAAAAAAAAAGATTTATAACGTCAGTGCATATATCTTAAATCCTTTTCAATGATACTAATTGCTCGAATCTTGGATGATTGGAAACAGGATGTAGCTCTGGAATACGAGGTTCAAGCTATGCCAACGTTTGCGTTGATGAAGAGAGGGAAGGTTGTTGACAAGATTGTGGGAGCAGATAAAGATGGACTAAAGATGAAAATTGAGAAATACAAAGCTAGCTTATACTAAGCAAACCAAAAGGGAAATATAAAGGAATGACACTTCCTGTGTTGAATAAAATTCATGTCTTTGCACGAATTTTCAAGTGGATGATATCGATCGAGTGGTCTCAGTTATGATTTTTTAACTGATACAACTAGCTGTGTATTCATCTCAAGTTCTTGTTCAGTTCTGATTGTGAAATTTCAAAGAGGCTGACTAAAGCACTATTTTTTGTTACATTTATATTTGAATAAGAAAATGTCTCTGTTTTTTGTGTTCATATGTCTTTTCCATAAAAAGTATATTTGATATGATCAATAAATGCAAGTAAAATACATGTAGTCAGAGCAACTTTGATGTTTGACAATGTCACGCTCCGAGCCTACACTATGGACGGGACTGGCACTCGAGATCCATTGCTGGCCCCAAGCGAACCCTTGGTCTGGTTTACTTACTCAGCGGAAGACTTTAAACATTAAGAAAAGAATTCAAATGCAAGATAACTCAATTGTCTCAAACTAAACTCATAATGTTTTAAAAATAAACATTTAACTTAGCCAAAGTGGCAACTCAAAACTGAACATAAGTCAATAACAAGATAAAGACAAATGAACTAACTGATTGTCTATCTATGAAGCCTTTAATAACTGAGATGGATGTCGGGACAATACACACGACATCCTAATGAACTAAATACTGAAAAGCAATAAAAATGAATCCTTCGAAAAGCAGGAGGCTCACCACAAGATTCTGAGTGCTCAACAGGATCAACGAGGCGCTGGATGCTGATCCTGATTACCTGCGTCTGCATCATAATAAGATGCACAGTACATTGAATGTACGAGTATGCGAGCTGGAATGCTAAACACAACTTAAGCTTGAAAGAATCTAAAAGGAACACTTACCTTGGCTTTACTCAACTCCTGAATAACTTAACTCAATACAAAGCAATAAAAACATATGCAATATATAGAAAGTCTTTAAAATAGTAGAAAACAACTTAGTTCGTTAAAGAAAATGCAATAATAAACTCAACTTTACTCATATAATAAAGTAATATAGTTTCTGTGGGAGTTTCTCTAACCGACAACCACCACTACGAGCCTAAGTGGTGATACAACGTCTTGCCCACGCTGCCAGAACTGTCCTATACTTTGCCGTCATATAGAACGCTTAACTTAGTGGATTCACTAGCTTATGCTAAAAGCATCTTAAGGAGTCATCTAAAAAGTATGATCATTTACTACCCATGATGACTACATGATTTATGGAGACTTGAGTTAATATGAACTCGCATCACCATATCGGTGCTCAATACTACTCCCAAAATATACTTAGCTCATATGTTTTTAAAACAAACTTCTTTCTTTGGTTTGAGATAATTACTCAACAACTTAGCTTAAAAGCTCTCTTGTAATCGAAGTTCCCTTTCTTGCTCAAATGTGAAAACATTTTAAACTCTTTGGGAATACATAGTCCCCATATACTTCTTTGCAGAAATGAACTTCAAACATTACTCTTTACTCTTTACTCAACTTCAATTTTAAGTCTTAAAACAAAGTTAAAAGCATTTGCAAAAGACTTCTTGAAAAGACTCTAAGAACTTCCTAGACTTGACTCTTAACTTTCCTTGAATTTGAATTTATGGATTCAAGGTTATGATTCATGTTTCTGGATGATTTTTAGATGGTTTAGAAGTCATTTAGAGTAGTTAGAATCAATAGGAAGTGTTAAAACACTTTAGAAAGACTTAAACGGACTGAATGACGAAAAACTGGTGAAAAACGACGATCTGGGCGCATTCCGGGCGCGCTGCGCCAGCCCCCCACTTTCTGGGGCTCCTTTTGGGCGCACTGTAGGCGCGCCGCCCCAGCCTCTTTGGCGCTATGGGGCGGCGACGCGCCTGGCCCTCCCCAGGTGTGTCTGATGAATTGTTGATCTCGTTTTCTGATCCTAAATCGTTTTAATTCAAATTTTTTTCTCAAATTCACTTTAGATTCATGTACCCAAATCATATACACAAAATCTAACCCAAACAACTCAAGGAAACAACACTTTAACATCAAGAAACTCCTTAATCCCAACTTATATTCAAGAACGAAATCAATTCAAGAACAATTATCATGAACATAAAATTCTCAAACTTTTTAGGATGAAAATACGTTGAATTAAACATGTTTGGCGCGTGGGTGAACTAACTCAACTCTATGTGATCTCACATACCTTGTAGGATCAATTCCTTGGTGAAATCCACAAGCAAAATCGATCGTTCTTGGCGAAATCCACAACCAAAATTGATCATTCTTGGCGAATCTTGTTTTTCCTCTTCTCCTTTCTCTTTTCTCCAAGCCCTAGCGTATTTTGGTAAAAGCGTAAACTGATCTAATTCTGATTAGACCCTAACTTAATTACCAAAAACGAAATAAAATAATTGGGCAAGGAAAAGACCAACTATCCTTTCAAAATCCGGATTGGACTTTCCTTATTCCAACACCCCAATTTCCAAAGGGAATAACTCACTCATACAAACTCGGAATCGCGCAAACTCAGCGGCATTGGAAAGATCATACCAAGAGCTTTCCTACCATATCTGGAAATACCTCTAACTCACCCTGAGCTAGAAGTTATGGCCGTTTGAAGTTGGCCAAAACTCAACTTATTCTAACTTAACAAAGTTTCTAGATTTTCATTCTTTCCAAAAATGACTATTTCCAATTATTAGCTTTTTCCTAGTTATTTCAAATTGCGAGATGTTACAGACAAATACATAAAAGTTTGCAAGATGTCCACTCCCGAATGGATCTGCAGTGCGCAATTCAAATTTAGTCGGAGTTCCAATGCAGCTTTCGAATACTAGGTGGGAAACCAAAAAAAGAAAAAGTTTGCAAGATGTCGAACAGAATTACAAGGAGAATATGTAATTTGTTAATTGGAAGTAATTTTGTAACTGGTCTGTAGTGCGCAATTTAAATTTAGTTGGAGCTCCAATGCAGGTTTTAAATACCAGGGGAAACAAAAAAAAAAGGTTGCAAGATGTCAAACAAAATTAAAAGGAGAATATGTAATTTGTTAATTGGAAGTAATTTGTAACTTTTCTTTTCAAACAGAAGATATCTATGCTTGTGCATTGTTAAATTGCTTTCTAGCTTTATATGGAGGAGCAGTGTCTTGAAAATCATCTAAATAGACGTGTATTGTCACTTTATAATGAAGTCTGAATTTATAGACTTAGACAAGGCTGGCGAAGAAGTTGAATGGTTTTGAGATATTTTAAAAGACATTTCATTTTTGCTCAAATCGTTCGCTCATATATGCATACATTGTGATAGTTAAGCGACAAAAGAAAGGGCTGAAAGTGTTATATGTGACGGAAAATCTCGTCACATACAACAAAGACATAATATTGTTAGATAACTGCTCTCTAGTGAAATTATCATTACTAACTATGTAAAGCCAAAAAATAATGTGTCAGATCTAACACAAAAGGCCTAACTAGAGAGATGGTTGAAAAATTATCGAAGAGAATGGGACTATAGCCGAGGACGAGTGATTGTGGCGGTGACTCTACCACCTAGAAGACTGTATATCCCAAAATCTAGGTTCAAGAAATTCAAACAAAGTCATTCATAACTGTTCAATATTATAAAAAAAAAAAAAAAAACTTTAGTCCATTCTCGTGGTGAGACAATGTTCAATATTAAGGATAAATTGTTAAGAGTTTTTAATGTTTTTAAGTTTGATATAATACATATCAATTAGTGTATCAACACGACACATTTAGGAATCACTTATATAAGTGTGAAGTGTAAATCGCTCCTAGGAGAATTTTGTAAAACTAATTCTCTACGCACTTATGAACCGAATAGTGTTCATCGATGAAATGAACAAAATAGTGAAAACTAAATATGGTTAAATAGTTAATTGTGTGGCTTATGTTGTCTACGTATACACCAAAACTCGACAATTCAAATAGATCAAATATATCGACTGACCGAGTATATTTGATATATGTTTCGCTACGAAAAGTTCAAAGAAAAACTTACTTATTCAAATGCAATTAATCTTTACTTACGAATCACATTGTTTGTTATTCATGTTTTTCATCAAATAGTCATTCTCCATTTACATAGTGGATTGTTGGGTTTTAAAAAGTGTAAATGGAAAATGAAGCATTCTTCCGAAAAGACACAAAGAGATGATGTAATTTGAATAACACATTTTCACATTGAATGGGTTGTGACTTTTTCTAGAGATTGTGACTTTTACGATGAATTGTTATTTTTCCGATGGATTGTGATTTTCTTTAACAGGACATATGTTCATACTACTCTTTGTTGGTTGTAGCCTGTAAATAGAGGGGTTTTCTCTGATTTTTCTACATTAATTTTTTTGAACTTCTTCTGCATATTTTCTTACAAACAAAAATATAAAATCGGTGTTGATTTGTTACTTATTTTGAGTTGGACGAAGTTATTGACGTTTGAGGTATCGCTACACCAATACATTGATTTTATCTAGGGAGGAAGCAATCCATAACCTGGAGTATGGACTAAAGAAGGAATAAAGAAGGAACAAGTGACACCATCTACCCTTTATTTAACTCCTCAAGTTATTTCAAGATAGTAGGAATCAATACTTGAACAAAACATTGTTTCCATCAATAGCAGAAACATTTGACTTCTTAAAGATGATAATAAAGTAATAATAATAAACAACTTTGTTGCAGGGTGAAAAATACAGAGTGAGAATAAAGTGGTAAAGATCCTGCATTAGTAATACTGAAAAAAAGAACCAACAGAAACAAAAGACACACAGCATCAAATCTTCAAATATATGATGGAATGATCAACACAACTCATACTGAACATATTCTCTATTGAATTTTAAGTTTCTTTTATATCAGCAACCAATATAAAAAGGGGTCCCTGCAAGACTCTAAGCTCCAACAATAATCCAACGATAATCTTTCGAAAGCCAGAAAAGCAAGTTTGAAGAAAATGGGTGCTAACTACTCATCAACTTGGCATGAAACTCATAATATGCCAATCACACCACAAATCAAGAGGTCTCAAGTCATTGCTTTCCACTCTTCAACAAAATGGAAGCTCCATTTTGATTCTTTGAAAAATACAAACAAACTGGTAACCATTAACTGTGTACAAGACTATCACTGTATTTAGTAGTCTTTTGAGTGACCTGATAGTGAAAAAAAATTTGTTACTTGTGTCGTAGATGTTATTGTATGTATATTAGAAATCAGATGGTACTAATCATTGGAAT